AATATAAAGAAAGTCAAAGGATATGGAAGGTCTGATTTTACATAATCAATTTTCAAGCACAGCTTTCTGACTAGACTTTCCTATTAGACAGATGCTACCATTTAAAAAGTTCTAGTTAATTATAGAGTCACAGATAAACAAAAGAACAGTTTATCTCATCAAAATCCCATCATCAAAAGGTGAACTCACTTTCTATATATCTGATAAGAAATAAGAAGATATTTTTGTCCAGATACCTATACCTCCACTAAGAAAACAATGGTATAAAACAATGGAACAATTATCAGTCTGGAATTTTTCTCTAATAAAAGAAACAAGGTATCTTTTAACAAAACTAGAAGAACAATTAATGTCTGTGGTCAAAGGAGCTCAAAAAGATAAATTCTTGGTGGCAGAAAAACAAGGGCAATTATACTGCTAAATAGCATACCACTTCTAAGAGTTAAACCAAAGAAGGATTAAATTCTGAGCCCACATGAACAAAGTTTACTAGTTGCTAGAATACTATTTAAAATATTTTTACTGTTGAAGAGATCTTAAATACATGTAATACTACCTCTAATTTTCTATTCATTAAAATGGTAAGTTACTGCTGAAATAACCAGAATTTATTACAGATAAACTCTTAAGGAATAGAAGGTTAAAATGCCCACAATACCACAGACCAATCACAGGAAACTCAGTAAATGTATTATAAACAAGTAATTTAGCATTTTCTTTCACAAAGGTCTTGTGCCTACCAAAGTTGGAATGCAAGAAACCAATGAAGACATTTCTAGACCCTTCCTTCCTCAGGCATACACAAAATGCAACAATAGGGGTGTTATTTCTAGCTTCTGAAGAAGCAATAGGCTTTGTCTGATTTTGGCCCAGAGTTAAAGAGCTGTGAGTGCAAGACAAATACAAATTCAGTCTCTGAAACCAGTAGTGACTATTTTAATGGTCACTGTTTTTATTTACTTATTCCAAAAAGAATACTACTGTGATGAAAACAATAATTGAGTTGACATTTATATAGTACATGACCTTGATTTCTATTTAATTTGAATGAATGCCAGGCAGCTTTGTAGTTTGTTTATTTTTTTTTTTGGTAATCTCAGTATTTTAAAATCTAGGACATCATTTTCAAAGAACATAGAGAATAAAGACTTATGGAAATAAAACTTGATATATCTAAGAATTAGAAGTGAGAAATCATAGGCTGAATCAATTAAGCCAAAAATTCAACAATTAGGCTAGTGATCTGCAATCTAAGTTCAATACCTTAAGTCAATGTAAATGCTATGTTGATTCAAAAGCACAGCAGTGACAAGGGATTAAACATTATAACTACTAATAATTGTTTACTTTTTAAAGGTTTTCTTAAAAGTTAATATTAGTATACACAGTACATACTAGAGAAATATAACTGATTCATCGAAGTTGAAATTTAGGAAAAAACAGTCAGTATGTAAAACATACAACAGATTTATTCATGGATCTTTCAGAGACATAGACAATATTTTCCCTAATATTATCCAGAAAAAAATACACATAATTATGTTTACTATAAAAATCCTAATGTCCTGAATTATTTTATAAGAGATATATAGTATATGGATATGTAAATGAATTAGTAAATATGATGAATGTAAAAATCAACTTTGCTTATTGTTTTACAAAAATTATATAAAATGAAACAAAAGAAGTAAACCAAAGAAATAAAAGTATATTGTTTTTAAATTCTCAGACTATAAATTATTTCACTATCTAGCCTTGTGTGACAAACCATGGTTATTTTTTTATAATAGTAGTTCAATGTATATGATTTTGGAGTAGAACAACAAATTCACACTGCTTCAAGTTATATAAGTTTATTATAATTGAAAGAAATTTGACAAAAAATCTTCAAAATGCTAAATAAATATAAAACATTAAACTGCTATTAACTATTCTTTTTCTTCTTTTTTTTTTTTTTTTACACAATGGCATTACATTATAGCCTGGAAAATTTACAGAGACCATTTTTAAAAAGGCATTTTGCTAACAAGCAGATAATTTAAAATAAAATTTGTGAACATTAAAAATTATATTTAAGTCTAACTTTAAATTTTAAAGACAAACTCTGTCATACAAAGCTATAAAATATTTAAATGCAAATCTATAATATGTAGTATGCCCTACTTCGGATGTAAGATTTTTTTTCTGTGCTTAAGTAATGCAATTATTCTGCTTTATGAAGATGTGTAGAGAAATATTTTAACAAAAAAAGTGTTTTACCTATCCAAAAATGAACATATGGGTATTATAGTAGCAGTCACACAAAACATATTAATGAGACATTCCAAGTAAGATGATAAAGAACATAACAATTTTAACAGTTTAGATCTGACTAATCATCAGCAGCATCATCATCATCACTACTGCTACTGTGAGTCATCATAATCCACTCCCTGTAGAACTGAATTTTCTGTAAGCATGGTAAAGGAAAAAAAAGCACAAAGGTTAGTTAAGTATGGAAAACTGCTTGGAAAACACGTAAGACTATGAAATGTTCAAGAAGTCAGAAAAATTTTAAAGCAGAGTTTTCAGCTAAGACACAGATTGTAATTATGGATATAATATTCCATAACTGAATAGACCTAAGACTGCTTGACACAAACTCAATGTATAAAATGGGTTGATGACGACAATAAGGTAGTCTACGAAAACACTAAAATTGTCATTCTATTTCTTTAGTAGGCAACTTGGACTACTAGGAAGCACTATAATAATGTGCCACTTTCTAAATAGGTACACAATGAAAGAATGTCTTTTATATTTAATTATTATACACGAGTGTAGATAATTTAGTGAACACAACACCTTTTTTTTAGAAAATAAGTAAAAACATTTAAAAGTCCCAAACCTTTCTGAGGCACTATCATTAAGTCACTTAGCTAAAAACAGGCAGATAAGATTTTAAATCCAGTTTACATATCATTTAATTACTTTCCACAGTACTGGTATTTCTATATTTTAAAGTGTTTGCTAAAGCTTTGATTAAAAACAAAACAAAACACCACTATTACCAAAACAACAACCCATTTCTTAGACCTGTACAAAAATAATACTAACAGCAAACATCTCATGGCAACTGGTAAATGCTTATGGGTATTCCAGCTAATACTGTATAAACACTTGCTGAAAAACAAGTAAATGGCTGACAAGAATTGTGGGTTTTTAGTCATTTGAACAGCTCCTTTGGCAATTAATGCTAAGACTGGCCTACTAAAAATATTCTTCTTTAAAAACACATAGTCAAAAGTCTTATCTTTAAATTCCAAAATAATTAATGAAAGTGTGAAATAAACGTACTTGTCACTGAAATCAAATTATCAACCATGACAAATTATTGGTATCTCATAACTTCCTTGTATATTATTTGTTCATTAATAGTGAAGATATATTTTTAAACTCTCTGCACCATTCTCCCTTACTTTCTACTACACGTTTATTAAGAGTTTGTCATGAAATGTTTTTAACTTTTAAAATGTGATTTAAAAACTATTTAACTTTCAGTTTAATAAAATGTTAGTAACACATGAGTTGTGTTCTCAACAAGGGAAAGCAGGTATGGGTAGAAATATGTTTTGACTGTATTGGCCACTGGTGACTTCTGCAATTTTTCTGTCTTCCCAAGAATGATGCACTGTCATTGCAGAGACTGCACAATATGTCCTGTAGAGCACAATCTCTCAGTAGACTGCCAGTTCCATCCCAATACACAATTATTTTAATGCTTTAAAAACATTTTTAACACAGTATAATACCACTTTACTAAATACTGCATATTAACTCTAAGACTACATTTTAATATATTAGACAGAAGGCTAAGAGAAAGATTTCAAAGTACATTTTATGTAATATATGCAGTAGGTAAATTATTTAAGTTTTAAATCTTTATCATGATCACTTTCAACATGACAATATTTAAAATAGCAAAGCTATAAAGAAAGTTCCATATTCCAACAGTTTATTATCACCATAAATATTTTCAAGTCTATATAGCATAATGACTCCTTGTTTGTTTTTAAATAAATGACTTAATTTAGTATTCCATATCTAAACCACAGAAGCAACTATATATTGGTATAGCTCACATATGATCACTAAGTTACCTACACTATTACCCAGATTTTTAAAAGTTCAATTTACTAAAAGTTAAAAAAGTTGTCTAAACAGATAAAATATTCTACTTTCAAAATGTCTACTGTTCCAAAAGCTAATTTTTATTATTAAAAGATACTGGTTTGCATGTGATCTGCTTATCAAATCCCACAAGATTTTACACAGACTTTGCTAGTCTAAAGCAGAAAGAGGGTCATGGCCTTTGAGCATTATCAAAAGCAAAGTATAAGAATTTAAGAGTAATTTGCAATAACAGTCTTCCTGAGTTCTGTTTTTCTTTCCTCTTGCCTAACTGGATCTGAGGATTATATCTGGTATAAAAGCTACTGGTGGCTTGATAAGCAGAAGGAAATAGTACCTCAAACAGAAATGGTCTAAGTGGCTAAATAAGTACCAACTCTAAGGATGTAGAAGGCATACTGGCTTTCAACAAATCTAGCAAATCCAGTGCAGACTAAGAATATCCTATAAAAAGATCAGATTCACTAAAATTCCTGTTAAAAGTTACCAATACAAAAGCTTCTCTTTGTATTCAAAATATTGAAAGAGCTGTACGTAGTTTGAAAATTTTAAGACTAAAATCTACTGTTGGCTTTCACTTGCAAAGTCATGCATTAACTGTTTTCATATCAAACTTTTTGATGCCTGTAAAAAAGAAAAAAAAAATCTCATAGTAAATAAATGTACTTTAAAACCTAAGTAAATAGAAGAAACTTACAAGTGGAATTAAGCAAAACATACTAAAAAGGCCCAAATAATTGAATATATATTTAAAGCATCAAATAGTTACTTTTTAAAAAAATCTAACTTGATTAATTTAATCTTAATTTATAAGACAGTCCTTCATTTACCTGTAACATTTGATTTCCAGTACCATCCCTCAACCTGTAAGGTCTGATAACTCCATCTTCATTGAAGAACCGAGGAGGTCGCAGACTCTCCACTTCAAAAGTTTCTGTGGCTCTAGAGGAAAAAATATAAATTAGCTTAAAAAATTATTTAAAAACTCATTAATACATTATAAAATGCAATTACAGAAAATAATCTTCTTTCAGATAAAATATTACATTACTTCCCTAATTTTTTTCCTTCTTTTTCCCTGTCTCTTGACTGACGTCACTTGCTCTGAGTCCTTTTACATTCTGAAGCTCTTGCTTAGCACCCAAGCCCACAGCTCCAGAAGAAAGGACTCACTTTTGAGCTTCTCCTTGTTCCCCAGCTCCCAACCCCATCTCCACCCTAGTAAAGGTTCCACTCCATTAAAGGTGTCTGGGGTCTGTCAAGGCGCAGACTGGAGGATGGTGAGGGCCTGTAGAGCCCAGGCAGAGCAGCAGGAATCTTGGCGGGAGGGACCAGGGTCCTCTGATTTGGGGATGGCATCTTGGTGCCCTGGGTGAGAGTCAGGCATAGCAGTACTGCCTGGAGTCCTAGCTACTTGAGGCTAATGTGGAGGACTGCTTAGGCTCAGGAGTTTAAGGTCACAATGAGCTATGATTGTGTTACTGCACTCTAACGTGAGCAACAGAGAGAGACACTCTTAAAAAAGAATTAAATAACCTAGACGAATTGAACTAATTCCTATAAAAACCACTGAAAATGACTTAAGAATGACACTCTGATGACATCTGTATCAAGTAAAGAGCCTGAACTAGCAATTTAAAAACTTACTGCCAGGCAGGGTGGCTCAAGCCTGTAATCCCAGCACTTTGGGAGGCTGAGGCAAATGGACTACCTGAGCCCAGGGGTTCAAGGCCAGCCCAGGCGACTTGGTGAGACCTTGTCTCTACAATAAATAAAAAAATTTGCTGGGTGTTGTGGCATGCCATCTGTAGTTCCACCTACTTGGAAGGCTGAGGTGGAAGGATCACCTGAACCCAGCAGATCGAGGCGGCAGTGGCCATGAGTGTGCCACTGCACTCCAGCCTGGGCAGCAGAGTGAGACTCCAACTCAAAAACAAACAAACAAAAAAAACTTACCACAATAAAAGTCAGAGTCAAGCAGCTTCACTGGTGAATTCGAATATGTGCTTTTTTAAAAAAAAACTTAACATCAATGCTCCAGAAAGTCTTCCAAAAATTAGATGATGAGAGAATACTCTCTAACTCATTATATAAGAGGAGTATTTACCCTGATATCAAAACCAGCAAAGACATCACAAGAAAACCACAGACCAATATCCTTTATGAATTATGTGCAAAAATCCTCAACAAAATACTACCAAACCAAACCAAGCAAAACATAAAAAGGTTATACTTCATATCCAAATGGAATTTATCCCAGGTATGCGATGTTGGCCAAACATATGAATCAATTAATGTAGTGCATCATATTAATAAAGGAAAAAACAATGACCATCTCAGTCTATGCAAAAAAAGCATGTGACAAAGTCTAATATCCATTCATGACAATGGCACTCAACAAAGTAGGAACAGATGGAGCTTCTTCAACTATCAAGATAAAGGGGCCAGGCTCGGTGGCTCAGTTTGTAATCCCAGCACTTTGGGAGGCCAAGGCGAGTGGACTGCCTGAGTCTTTGGGTTCTTGATCAGCCCAGGCAACTTGGTGAGACAATAAATAAAAAATTAGCCAGGCGTGGTAGCATCTGTAGTTCCGGCTACTTGGAAGGCTGAGGTGGAAGGATCATGGAAACCCAGCAGGCTGATGCTGGGGTGACTGTGACAATGCCACTGCACTCCAGCCTGGGTGACAAAGTGAGACTCCAACTCAAAAAATAAAAATAAAAAAATAAAAAATATAAAGGACACCTACAAAAACCCTGTAGATAACATCACACTTAATAGTGAAAGTCTAAAAGTTTTCCCCCCAAGATCAAAACTAACACAGGCATGTCTGCTCTCAGTATGTCTAGTCAGCACTGTACTAGACATTGTAGCCAGGACAATTAAGCAAGAGAAAAATGCATCCAGATCAGAAAAAAAGAGGTAAAATTACCCGTTTTCAGAGGACACGCCATGAAAACCCAAAATAATCCGCAAAATTACTACAGCTAATAAGTTCAGTAAGATTGCTGAAACTAAGACAAATATAAAAAACTAGCTGTATTTTAACAACCAGAACTGAGAAATCCAAAAATGAAATTAAGAAAACAATTCTGAGACTTCCGGGCAAGATGGCAACAAAACAGATTGGACAGTGAAAGTTTTGACAAAAGCAAGTGTGCATAAAGACTCTCTGCATGAGTGGGTGTGTGTTGGTGGGTGAGTGAAAGTCTGTCTGAGGGGAGACTCAGGTTCATGAACCTGGGACTCTCCTCTGGAGGTGACTGCAACCCCCATAGCCCTGGGATTGGAGACGCGGGAGTGCAGGCTCATCTGCCACTCTCAGAGCTCTCTTGAGAGGCAGCAGAGAATAACCGTCCCTTAGCACTGGCACCCAGCCCACGCCATCAACTGCAGCAGCAGAACTGGCACGAGAAGCCAGGTAGTGGGAATCTAGAATAAAGCTCCAACACTAATGACAGGATGCCAACAGGCACCATCTTCTCAGTCCTGGACTAGGCAGAGACTTGCACTGCCCCGCTCAGCTCCACCCAGTCCCCATCTTGGGACTCTGAGGCTATTATCTCTTCAGAGTCAGACAAATGCCACTCCCCTACACTGAAACAGGCACAGATAAGTCAGATCTGAGTGGGAGGCTTGACAGCAGCAGCAGTGAGTAGGGTGAGTCTGGATCTGATCCATCCTCTGCCCAAAGTAGTCCATGGGGCATTTGATCCATGTTGAGAGCAACTCTATCAGCCTGTGCTGAGAGTGGAGGGAGGCTGGAGATCAGAACTGCTCCCTAAGGTGGAGGCCTGAAAGGAACCAATTTCTCACAGAAACTACCAGAGAGTGAGTTTTTTTCTTGTTTTAGTTTTAGCTTTTTAAAATTCTCTTTCTGTTTTTGTTTATATTTTTGTATTTGCTTTGTTTCTGCTATTTTGTTATTATTTTAAGATTCTCTGTTTATGTATGGGTATTTTTGAGGGAGAGTACACTAACGGGGGGGTTTGTTTGTTTGCACGACCGTATGTTTTTGTCTTTGTTTGTCTCTCTGTTTATTAGTTAGTTCATGCACCTGTTTTCTCTCTTTTTCTTCTCTCTCTCAACCTCCCTTTCATTTTCCTCTTTCCTTTTTCCATTCTTTTCCCTTTTCTTATCTCATTTTGCTTTCAGGGGGTAAACAGACACCTCCACTGCATGGGCAGATTGTAAGGCAGTGGGAAGTGGGTTCCAGGGAGCCCACACACCCGTCAGCGGATACTGGGATCTGCAGATAGTTTCTGAATCACAACTCCCTGCTCAATTAAATCTCAAAATTGCAAAAAGCACAGGCCCCTACCCATGGCCCAGCTTCAGAAGTGAACAAAAACAGAGGATCTATATAAGGAAGAACAGGAGATAGAGCAAACAGAAATAAAAGCTATCCCCACATCACTAAACAACAGAATTAAAGAAGAGGTTAAAAAAAAAGGGGGGTGGACCCTACACAAATGAAAAAAACAAAAGAATAATATGAGTCTTACACAGACCCCCGGGAGGTCAGTCACTGAGAATACAGACACCAGAACTCAAACTATAAAGAGGTCCCAGAATGACTGGTCTCAAACCACAAATCCAGATATCAAGATACTAATAGAGAGAAAAAACAGAAATGAGGAGAGACAAGAAGAATGAGGAAGTTGATTCCTGAGATAACAGCAATAAAGAATACAGTGAATGAAAAAAAACAACAAACAGATAAACATGGAAAGCAGAATGAACCAAGCAAAAGAAAGAATCTCAGAGTTTGAGGACTAAAATATGGAACTAACTCAAACTGTTAAAAACATAGAAAAGAAGCTTAAAAAGACAGAACAAAACCTCGATGTGTAATTATTTCAAGAGGCCAAATCTAAGATTAATTGGAATCCCCGAGGCAGACAGCGAGACAGAGACCACTCTGGAACAGACATCCCATGAAATTATCCAGGAAAACTTCCATCATCTCATCAGTGACCATTCAAACATGAAAGAATCAGAGAACCCCTGCAAGACAACAAATGAGAAGACCAACTCCCAGACACAGTAATTTCGCCTACATAAAGTAGGTATAAAAGAAAAAATCCTAAAGGCAGCAAGAGAGAAAGATCAGACTATTTACTGGGGAAGATCAATTAGAATAGCAGCAGACTTATCTACAGAAACACTTCAGGCTAGGAGAGCTGGGAGTTCAGTCTTCAAAGTTCTCAAAGATAAACAATTTCAACCAAGAATTATCTACCCAGCTAAGCTAAGTTTCATCAGTGATGGAGAATTAAAATCCTTCCCAGACATTCAATCCCTAAGAGTTTATGCTGCCTCCAGACCAGTTCTATAAGAAACACTTAAGAAACTATTAAACACAGAAGAAAGGAAAAAAAGAACGGCAATGCCCTTCACAAGAATGCAGGAAAAAGACTGAACACACATGAATCAATCCCAAAATCAAAAGAAAGACAACAAACAAATAAACAAACAGCAGCAACAAAAACAAACTCTATAAGAACCTCATGGTAGGGATAAACTCTCACATCTCAATACTTACCCTGAATGTGAAACAAAATTTCAGGTGAATGGAACATAAAAGAAAGCAGTAGTTGTGATCTCAATTTCAGACAAAATACCCTTTAAGCTGTCAAAAATTTAAAAAGATACAGAGGGTCACTACATAATGATAAAAGGTTCAATCCATCAACAAGAAATATCAATCCTAAACATATATGCACCCAACTTAGCACCAACTTTCATAAAGCAGATTCTACGTAAACTAAACAAAAACATTGACTCTTAACACTATCATAGCCGAGGACTTAAATACCCTGCTAACAACCCTAGACAGATCATCAAGACAAAAAGTCAACTAGGAGATCTGAAACCTCAATGTGATGCTTGACCAAATGTACTTAATTGATTCCTACAGAACACTCCATTCAACAACCACA